GTGGTAGGATATCCTGAAAATTGATGTATATCAAATCTTGTAATATAGTCCTTTAAAATTTCTAATTTTGCATATCCTCCATTGGATACCAGCATCCAATTTTCATATTGGCATAAGTACGAAATTTTTTTATCAAACAAATTTTTGGCAATATTGTATATGACTTTAATTCCAAGTGCTCTTCTATGTCTGATCCATGATTTTGTCACTGTTGGGACTTTTCTATTATTTTCTGTAACGTCAATTTGGAAATTAGCTGCAACATATCCAATTGAGATTATGTGTTCAACTGGATAGTAAACAACTTCATTATATTCTGGACTGATTAAATAGAATTTTAAAAATATCTTTCTTCTCTTGGCAAATCTGGATACTTCCTTAATGAATGTGTCATCAAACTTTGAAATTTCAATAAAATCTTTTCCTGGATAAATCAAATCCATGAATCCATAGTTTGTCTTGATTTTTATGAATGAAGGGTCACCTCCTTCCATGGCTGTTATTCTGGGGATAAACATTATTTCTCGGAGAAATGAAATATGAATCACTTATTTTTATTTCATGAGCGATTTTGACTATCTCGACATATTTTTCTTCGTTTGGATCTAAAGAGATTTTATCTTCTTGGTCTATGATGCTAATTATTTTGGTATCTCTTTTATCTCCATGTATCATAACTTTCTTGGTTGATGATACAGAAATGGAATCTCCTTTATTATCAGTTGGTATGTTGTCACGTCTGGGTCCACTGCTGCTTCCAGCTATCCCTATTTGGTATTGATTTGGAAAACTCATTTTTTGAGCTCTTTGGTATATCTGTTTCAAACAGTTTATTTTTTAGTTGTGCTGCAATTGCATCAACTTGATTTTTGAGTTCAATGGCATATTTATGATGTTCAGTAGTGATATTCAACAATATTTTCATATTTGAGTTGAACATCTTTGAGATCTGGGTTGTTCCAGAACTTATATGTTCAGATTCTTCTTTAAAAAAATTTGTCCTTTCTTGCATATGTAGAATGGATTGGTATAACTCCATGGTTTTAGCTTTATCCATCAGCAAATTCTATGTTTCTGTTTAGAAAATCTGCAAGAAAATTATTAACTTCTTTAATATGAACTATATCAAAATTATAAAATGCTAAATAAACTTGTCATTTATGGAGTCTTCTGTATTGAGGTTCTGATGGTAATTTATTCCTGACTAACTTTGCAACTTGAGAATTATCAGTTTCAACAATAAATTCTTGGATAATAAAAACAATGAGAACTTTTTTATTCCTTTAATAATTGCTAGTAATTCTTTTTCATGAGTAGTATAATTTATTTCTACTTGGCTAAAGGTTCCACTTGAATATCTACAAATTTCATTTAGATCTGTTTTTAATATTGCTGCCCAATATTTATTTGAGGTATCAGTATTAACAATCAAATTATCTTTTTTATCTGATAACCTTAATTTTGGTAAATTTTTACATTTTTCTTTTAATGATTTAACTATTACTGTATGTTCTTCATTCCATCCATTAGTATTTGTTTTTTAAGTAAAATTTGGATTTTATGTCTTTTCTTAAAAAGATTTTCAATTAAACCTTCTGCATAGTTTAAACATCCTAAAAATTTTTGAATTTGTTCTTTAGATTCTAATTTATCTAGAAAATTTTCTATCTTTTTGGATAAATGACTCTGTAATTTTATCTCTCTTTTATCTATTGATAATCCAAGAAAGTCTATCTCTTATTTTTCTATTATAGATTTCTTTTTAGATAGTACAATTCCTTCTTTTTTACATTCATTAATAAATTTGATTAAATGATTTCTATGCTCTTCTTTTCTATTAGAACATATTAATATATCATCAATATAAACTATTAGAAATTCATTAAACTTTTTAAATATATTATCCATCTTTCTTTGGTACATTTGTAGTGCATTTTTCAAACCAAATGACATAACTAACCATGCATATTTTTCTTGAGGTGTGCTAAATGCAGTATATTGTATACTATCTTCTTCCATTTTTACTTGCTAGAATCCTGATTTACAATTAAATTTAGAATAATATTGTTTTCCTCTTGCAAGATTTATTAGTACTTCTTTATTTGGTAGAAAATAACCATCAAATTTAGTATATTTGTTTAATTCTTTATAATTTATAATAATTCTAGCTTTTCCTCTAACTTGTTTAGAGTGTTTCATAACCATAAAGGCTGGACTACTATGAGGTCCATTACTATGTCTAATAAGTTTTTGTTCTAACAATTCTTTTATCTGATTTTTAAATTCTTGTATATTTTCTATTGTATACATCATTGGTCTTACTCTTATTATAACATTTTCTGTTAATTCTATTTTGGCTTTTGGGTGATATGGTTTCCACAATAATGATGAATTTTCTCCATAAACTTTTTCTAATTGTTCAATGATTTTTTCTATATTCATTTCTATTCATGTTTTTAAAACCTTTTTATATAATATTTTATTTTTTATTTCATTATTAAGAATTGGTTTTTTCTCTCATTTATCACCATACTAGACTGGCTGAACTCTATAAGGTTTAAATTCTCTAGGAATTTTTAATAAGTGTCCACATGGTATTTGTAATATTATCATATAATTATTTTGTTTATAATATTGAAATTGTTGTATGAAATCATTTCCTAATAATATATCACATTCTAATTTATCTTATTTATAAACTTTATTTATTGTTACTTGTTTACTTCCAAGAATTATATTAACTTTAACAGCACTATTTATTATTTGAGTACTTTCACCTGTAACATCAGTTATTTTTATATTACTATTATTATTCCATGATTTTATTAAAAAACTTTTAAATATTGTTATATCACTTCATGTATCTATTAAAGTACAAATTGTTATATTTGTTTCTACAATAGTAATTTGTATATACACAGCTAATGAAAAATTTATCTGATTATTCATCTAATTCTTTTTACATAATGTAGTTTGTCCATTATGAACAATATATAATCCTTCTCTTTTTATACTATAATCTTCTAATCCATTTAGAAAACTCATTCCTAAAAGTATATGGGGATTTATACCTATATTTTTATCTATGTAACATGTTACTAAAATATCTATTCCTCCTATTTTTATTGGTACCTTAACTTCTAAATCTGTTATATGGACTTGTCCATCAAAATTTACATACTTATATGGTTCAGTTTTATGAATTACTATTCCTTTGTTTCCATTATAATATTCTCCTTCTATTTTTATGTTTCCAGCATTTTTATATAATTTTACTTCTTTTATTTTGTTGATTTCTTCTAACTGGTTTTTATTAGGTATTTTAAAACTTTTTGATCTTTTAATTAATTTTCCATCCTTAAATGTTATGTTATTAGAACATTCTCCTTTATTTAATTCTGTTATTTCAGGTTTATTTTTTACTATACTAAATTCATATTCTTTTGGAATTAAACTTATTTGCTTAGTTGGTTCTAATATTTTACTAATATTTTTACATTCTTTATGAACTTCAATATATGATTTATTGGAATAAATATTCCCAAAATTAGAATTTGTAAATGTGTATAAAACTTTATATTCTATAGTTATAATTTGATCACTTGGTTGCATAATATCATCTCTATGAAGCTTCCCATTTTCCCATTTTTAAATCTAAAGATAATTTTTGTAATTTTCTAAATTTGTTATTATCAAAAGTAACTTTTAATCCATATCCTTCTATTCCTTCATATTCTTGTATATTTATATTATTACTTTCTATTTCTTCAATCTCTTTATTCAGATCCTGATTCATCCTCTTCTGTTTCACTTATATATACTTCTTGATTATAGTATTCTTCAATATATAATATTTCACTTAATTCCTCTTTTATTTCCTAATATTCTTTTTGTAATATTCTAACTTTCTTTTTATCACAATTATGACTTATATGACATATTTCTCCACAATTTCAACATTTACATATATATTTTTATAATACATTCTTCTAGGTTTTATATATTTTTTATTAAAATTTCTAAATTTTTTAAACTTTTTATTTTTAAACTTTCTTTTATTAACTTTTCTTTCAGGATTACATCCCCATTGCACAGGGATTTCCATATGTTCACAACATATTTTAGTTAATTTTTTTGATTTTTTCATTAAT